AGTTATTATGCAAGGGAGGTAAACAAAGTTGATGTCTTCAGAAATGACTGGAGGGTCCTCTGACACCAGTCTGTTCGAGGGAACGGCACGAAATCACCCCGATTGGGAGGCCAGACACGTATTTCAAAGCCAGTGAAGTCGGTTAGAAATTAGTATACTCTATCCTTCTCTGGGATGTCTACGACTTTTTAATTTATTCAAGGAAAGTTTGTTAGAAATTCGTGCAGTTCGAAGCCTGGCTTTTCTGGAATGGGTACCGACCGATCATCACCGGAGGAACCAGATGCCACGTTTGTCATTTTGTACGTTTCGTTCCATTAAATCTTTCTCATTCTTCCTATTTCCTCTAATAGCGTTCGTCTGTACGCGACCCGAGCAAAATATTCTTTGCGAGTGATTTAATTATTTTTGAAAGGATCTTCTCTCGCTTCGTTTTCGAAATTCTTAAAGAACAGAGACCGTTAAGAATCTATTTTTAACTTTTCGTAATATGAAACAATATTTATAGCGTTATTCGTAACCTTTTTGTATCGTAATACTATGTAACTTTTTATTTTAACAGTCTATGATCACATATCTTTTAACGTTGTCTCTTAATTTAAAAATAATTTAATTATTCGTATCGGTTATTTAATTACGCCCTGTTGATTACTGGACAATTCCCTAGACAATCTAGTATCTCTATTACATAACAGAGAAAATCTTCTCGCCATCGGTCATCGTTATGACGGTACGTTGATTTTCCAGTGTGGCTGGAAAGCAGAAATCAGACAGGCCAGATGACCATACTAGCGACGTGTATACGCGTGGACTCGGCACAGCTGGACTTTATCGTGCTCGCGTGTGCGATCGTGAATCATAATGCGTCGCGCGATTACACATTACGCGCCCCCTCCCTATCTAACCACTCGTAACGCATTACTGTACGAGTGGGTTCGTCAATATGCCGGCGAACTAGATTATGGCTGTATCCGTGGTAATGCTTTATCGTTTCGTATAACGTTCGCGTGTCGCACGTTTACTCTCTTTCTCTATTCTCTTCTCTCACTTCTATGTTTCACTCTCACACGGAAATAAAACGCTCGACCTGGCCATGAGACTCTTTCGCGACGAATATTCCCCTTTCGTATCGATTCGGCTGTGTTTGTTCAGTATCGTACAACCGTACTAGTTATTCCAGGTTACTTTGTTTCTCGTATTCGCATCGTTTCACATGGACTTTTGATACCCTTTTTTCTTCTTTTTTTTTTTTTTTTTCGACTTGTTTAGAACGCATTTACGTTTTATCAGGGATATTACACGTAACGCGGAATTAAATAATCGAAATCGAAAAAAGATTTAATTCCCGAATTCGAGAAATGAAAAAAAATTGTTATACTAAGATCTCGACAATTAACACAGGCTATCGGAATTATTCTATACGGATTGCATTGTATTAGTGCGTTAAACGATAATATGATCGCGACAATATCGTACTATTATGCTGGTGTGGAATATTAGCAATATTATCAAACATTGATTCTGTTAAGCATATCCGTTCAGCGAACAATATCGTATATTGTACACACATAGATTTTTCGGTTAGGCGAGAAACGATGAGCTCGCAGTCAGTCCGACGATACTAGTGGCCGTGGCCGCTTCGAACAGGAGTAAATCATGATTAATCGCAATTTCATGGACGTTCCGCGTAAGTCATGAAATTAATGTAACGATATAACTCGCGATTACGTACATATTACGTGGCCGCGTATCTCTCCACTTGTTACCACTGTCTGGTCAGTTCAATATGCCGACAATACGCGCCTATGCTCATGCTTTATCGTACGAGCTATAACCGTCGATACGGCTAGGAAATAAGGAGTGCCAACCTATGATAGAAATATGTGCGTTGCGATACAGCGTTACGCGAAGAATTAGACAATTATATACGAAGTTTATGTAGATTTTTCCACGATTGCGTGATCTATGATACTTTCAAAACTACGAGAAATACTTTAATATCGTAAAAATTTTCGTCGTAGTATCGAAATTCTAGTATATGATCAATGAGGTTATCTTCCGAATCGATGTAGGTCACGAGCAATCGTTTTCGAGTGAAAGCACGATTGTATGTCGTATGTTTCGTTCGGATGGGACATTTTTACTGTTTCATTCAAATTTTATTTTCCCTTACAACCGGTTGTTTCTCTTGTATTTCTGTTAGACACGAATGTTTTGTCGCAAAAAAAAAAAAAGTGTAAAAGGGACAAGCTTCTGCCTCATGCACTTAAAACAAACGTCTCATTATAAGGCGGCACCGAAAAGAAAGATGGCATGGTAGCGATGAATAATTATCTTGGTGGAAAAAAGCAAGATGGAAAAAGTGAGTTCAAGAGCAACGGAAGTTAAATGGAAATATTATTCTACTCTGGTCGTGCACGTTTTACTAACTATTCGCTACTATTCTTTTTAAATACTGCTATTAGTTTAGCTCTTTTCATCGTTTCGATAAATTGTTTTTAAATGGTTAGCTTTAATCTAATTAATCATGATGAATCATAAATCTAATTGCTATTTCTTTTCTTTAATATCGTGAAAAGAACTAATGTAATGGAATAATCTATTTTTTAGATTATTACATTCGTTTATTTAACAAATATATAATATTTTTTGGCGTAATATTCGATAGAATATATTTGAAAGATGAAAAGAACGTAAACTATGCATATGGAACTATACATATGACGTAATAGAAAAGAAGTATTTTTATATTTTTCTCACCAATTGATGTTTGACGTAGAACATAATACTCTTTTGGAAAATGTCTTGTAGCACAAAATTAATACTCAACATCATCGATTTTCACTTTAATTCACTCGTTAAAATGACGACAATGTACCATCATAGGAAAATCATGCTCTACTATCGAAATACATATAGTGTCAATATGACTACTATTTTATTATTTATGAAGCATTAAAAAGTTTACAAAAAATTATATTATTGATAATTTAATACAAATAGAAATAAAATATATCTTAAAATTCTTCACTGATATCTTATTAATAAAAAAATATATTTTTTAAATAATATAATTGCATTGATTAATACTCTTAATTGAGTTGTACGGTAGCGGTAGCTTGTGATTGCCGTGCCATCTACGCTGCAAATTTTAAACGTCTTAAAGACAAGCGATCCTTTCTCGTCCGGAGCTCGTCGAAAGCGGTTGTGGCGTCGTTCTACTTTATGTAAGTAACATGAAACAAATTTACATTCACGGCAAAAACGAGCAGTTCCATCACGAAGCGTTGTAAACTTCCACGGCGTGTTCGTACACGTTGTTAAACATTCATATTTTTTCGCACGCATGAAATATTCTGCGCAGTTTCCTTTGGCGTCCCGTGGTCCGCGTTACTTTTCGTTTCACGACTCGAAACAATAGAAAAAAGGAAATTACTGTGTTTATTTATCCTCGTTTGCTAACCTCGTTCGAAGCACGCTCTGATACATTCGTGGAATAAAAATAAAATTGAAGTGATGTGTTTGAACAGCTAGAGTGTCTTTTGTTAGGTCGCAATATCATCTTAATAATTTACGACGTCAAAATGGCTGCCTAATTCGCGTTGTGTACTGTTCGATTATGCGTATGTGTATGCTTATTCGTCTTCCCGTATATGAGACAACGAATACGAGACAAAATCGTAGGGGAATTAGGCGAAAACATTTCATATTTTGTATCTCGAATCTATCAGATACGATTAATTTCGAAATATCTTGATCGTACATCGAATGAGATCAATCCGTGAAAAATGGTGTTCGCGAAGTCGTAAAAACGAGACCGAAAGTGGCTATCCTTAACCTAGTCGAACTCGAAAGAGCGGTACTGTGTTAAAAGGTTTCGAATTCGATTTACGATTCGAAAAATCCGTCTATCTTCCTAACGCACTGCTCCGGGATATGCACGGACAACTGGCATGAGAGGGAATATATACGAGATAGTACATTTTTTTTTATAGCTATTTCCAACGGTAGCGAACGTTTCGTAATTAATTACAGCGGGGTACTCTCTTCTTTTATCGACTACCGTTTCGCGAGTGGCTCGTAAAAATCCGTGAGAGTCCGCACAGTTTTCTTGTCTCTTCCGTGCTTCGTTTTCCATTTTTTTTTTTTTTTTTTTTTACTTTCATTTTTCCTTCTTTGACCGTGCTTCTCTTCTTCCACCGGTTATGGTTACCGTTTTTAAATTTCGTCACGAATTTTTTTTAAGAAATAAATGGATAATTTCGAACGTCGAGCATAGTCGGTTATAAAGTTACTCGAAGTCGTTATCTCTTTTCTTTAACGTCTTTTGCTTTCGTTCTTTATTTATTTCTTATCCTTTATTTCTTTTGTTGTGGGTTATATATCACAAATTGCAATATCTTTTTATTTATTTATTTTTTTTATTCTCTATTACGTAAATTATATCGTATTTCAATTATTTGACTTCGATTAAATTATACACAAATTATATACAATAGTACAATTTCGATTATTCGTTTATCTTGATTAGTATAGAATGGTCGAATGAAAAAAGTTTACGAAGGACATCTTGATCATTTATTCTTTTTTATCCTGACGAATAAGTGCGATCTTTCGTGAGTTATCTCGTCAACAAAATATTGTTATCAATAAATAATACTAGTTATATATTAAATCGCAATTGTAACTTTCCATTGTTTTTCTCGAGTGAATCATTTCTTTTCTTCTCGTTCTATTTTCTTTTTCAATCGTTTCAATCTACGTGTTCGAGTATCTTCGATTTCCTATAATCAGAATGCATTTCAACGCGATCCATTATGTGTTTTCTTATTGTTAGTCGCCCGGTAGTGATTATTAAGGATTTTCCACGCGATCAAAGCTTTGTTCATCAACCTTTTTTTTTTTTTTTGCGCCTTCATCCCCTGGAATGTATACCCTCGTAAAAAGACACTTTATCTCTTCTTTATTGCTAACGTCTGTCGCGTTATTTCTGCTTTCAGGATCCGACATCAAAGTACCGGTTGCAATACTGAACTGTCTTTACGCGCGTCAATTGTGCTTCGAGGATGCATCCTGCAGCGCCATTCTAGAGATCATACCGAGAGTCTGTGGTCCAGAACTGGGTGAGTGATAAAAAATTATTTTTTTATAATTTTTAAACAGATATAAAAATAAGCAAACATTTTTATATATCGCGAACTCGTTCGATAGAGCTTTTAATTACGAGTAAGAATTGATTTTCGAATCGATTCTCGAATATTTTCTTTGATTTAAATAATTACGAAGAGAAGTAGGATTGTATCGAGCTTGAAAATTCGCGAAGTCGAATGGTGTCGAGTAGTGCAACTGCTTTTTCTTGGCCAATGTAACGAGAAGCGAAAAAAATGAGGCGGACCAGAGATACGGTCGACGACCTCATTCTTTTCGCACTTCTTTCTCGTCTTCTATTCGTATAATCGTGTTTTTCTTTTTATTTAAAACTTTTTTTCTCCACACATTGGAGCTATTGAAATTAATTCTTTGATTAGGTGTTAATATTAAACATATTAAATTATAAATTCATATGTAATAAGTTTTAGACAGTTTTAAATACTGCGATTTCGTTTTAATTTTAAATGGATTAATCGTGCCATGTTTCTTGATTTCGTTTCTCGAAAATATCTTCATTTAAGGTAATATTTTTGGAATTGACGTAACCTGGATAAAACCTGTGATTTTTGACAATTCCAAAAGTAGCACTTACTACAATATCATTTGACGTTGTCAAAATGATGTTGGTCTGATTTCGTTTTTTTTTTTCTTGTTAATTTCTGAAATATTGAAATCTGTGATCAAATTAAATTCAAGTCAGGCGCTTTTTTCCCGATAATCCTTGTTTTCGAAACCTTTTATACGTCGCGTAAATTATAATTCGAATAGGTACATTAAAGAGGAAGAATTACGTTCGAATTTACCGAATTTAACGATACCAAAAATGGGGGGTAAATACAGCGGTGACGTCGGTGAAAATTAAAACAAACAGAAGGACGGCTCTACTACATAATAATGGAATTAGATGCGTTTTACTTTAACGAAAGTAAAACGTAGGGAAGGCCGTTAAAACGTGCTCTTTCGTACGCGTCTCGGGAAAATGGGATTAATTCGTATTTAATTTACCGAGTAAACGAGGCTGGAAGCGTGATATCGTCGTGGTACACGTGCGACCGCGAGCATGAACAGAGCTACAACGCTTTGCAAAGCGAAGTAGATTAACATGCGGAACTTCTACCGTGAATTACGTGTAATTAAAAAAAATACAGCACACCTTGATTGGTACCTTTCGAATCGTTTGTAATTTTATGCTTCTCTCCCTCCACCAAGCTTTTATCGAAATTGACGTTGAATTATAACGAACGAAATTTCGGGGGTTAATATCGAAATTTATCATTGGGGCGTAACTCGAGAATAAAAATTTTTATCCACTCCGTTTCTTTTTCTTTTTCTTTCTTCTATAAAAATGGAAATTATCATAAATAAAAAGAATTATATGGTGGAAAAAATCGGTTATGGAAACAACGGCAAGAGTATCAGTTATCGAGTGAAACGGTTTATTTTCTGAATGACTGCTTCGGCGAATTAATTAACGCGTTTTCTCCGCGCGATTCAAAACAAACGGTTGGAAAAGTCCAGTTGGCCGGAAAGGGTTTCGAAATTAACAATTCATGCATCGATCTCGAAAAAACGATGTAAACTATCGATTCTCGAACTACTTGCAACGATTTTTATTGCAAATTAACTAACGTAGGAAATAATCTGGTAAACAATTGTACGCGACTATTATTCACATTTAGAGAACGTCTCATATTTTTCATGTTTATTAATTCGACTTGAAACCTCGGAAATACTCGTTCTCGTAAAACTCCACAAAAGGACAATTATCGGAATTTGAACGTAACTTGATAAAAAGAATCAATTATTCATAGATTATTCGATACACCATAACTTTGACAGAAAGTTAATCGCGTTTTTACGTCGATTACTACTACTACTGCGAAAGTACTACAACTGAAGGGAAAAAGTAGTACAACCAACGGTTTTAAAATGTATTAAAAGCGTTTTCCCAAAGTCCGATGAAATATTTCGTTCGATTTTTTATTTTTATACGGATAAAAGAGTCGCGTTTTTCAGAGTCACGTAATTGTACAAAGCGTTGAACATCAACAATCCTTTTATGCCTCGAGGATCCGATTATTAATAGAGTTGCAGGAGAAATTTCTACTTCGTCGATTCGGCTACCGATTAGAACGAATCTATGCGAGTATCCGTGCCATGTAATTTCGATATTTCAAGCGAGGAAGATTCAACAGATAAGAAAGAAGCGAGCGATATCGCGTTCGGAGACCGTATCAAGGGAGAATCGCGTAAATTCTTCAGCCTGAAAATTCTGGTACTCTCTGATAATTTTCTGAATACCTTGGGGAAATCCGGGTGAAAGGGCATCGACGCGTATTTCACGTTTCACAAACTATTTTCCACCGTTTACTACGTATTTGCTTGACTATTTTTATGGTCAGTCTTCCCGCTTTTCCAATACTTCCCCTTCCTCGTCTAGTTGCACCTTCCTCTCTCTAATTAGAGAAAATTTTTACTCATAATCGAGGCATCGATTCTTCTAAATTACGACGACGTTACGACGATCCCCTGTTGCAATATTCCCTCATTTATACTATTCCCGCGTTCGTTGATACGTCGAATCCATCGATGGACATTCATCGAGCTCATAATCATCCGTCCATAAACAGTGCGGTCCCCGGAACACGAATCGAGATATCGATCCACGATGCTTCCTGTTCGCAATCGGTGCGAGTCGAAATTTCAGTTGCGGAACGCGCAGAGATAGGTCAACCGGAAGTTGCCGATATACTCGACGCATTTCCGACCGTACATATCACTGTTGTCTCTTAGATGGTCCGCGATGCGTCGCAATTTCGTCTTCCGTCCAATTGCAAAAAATGTTGGAACAGATTTGAAAAGTTTAATTAGTTTCGTTTCGAAATTCAACTATTTTTTTTTTTTTTTTTTACCCCTTATCGCAGAATTTAATCGAATTCCTTGTTATCGATCCTCTGGTTTAATCGAATTGCACGACGCAAGTGGAACGAAAGAAGAAAACAATTGGAAGAGATATAATATCGATTGAACGAGACGATTTGTCGGATATTTTGTTGAAATCAGCGAAAGATTATCGCTAATAAGCGAGATGTGAAAAATATCGCGATGTGAACGATTTTCCAGATCGTTAACATTTCGAATAATCTCACCACCTGCCATAATCTTATCCGTAACCCTTATTCCGCGCCATACGATGAATATTGTCGATTGTAACGGACTTTCATTTCGCGCTAGTGCATTTCGACCTTATCGACGAAAATGATCATTCGACTCGAGGAAAATCTTTCGAGATAGAGAGACCTGTTATTTTCGTGGACCGATTTCAACTGGGATACTTTACACTTAAAGCAATTACTTTTTTCGGCTGATCGAACGTTTGTCGGATATCGCATAATTGTGATTGAACGTTTAATTGCGTCCGTTTCGTTCCCTTTGTACGCGAGTTTTGGCCACCGTGTTACTGCTCTAATTCAATTTAGGCGATCGATTTTCCGTTACGTCGAACTTGATTAATAAACGCTCTTAATTTATTCGAAAGTAACGACGATTCGTTACCGAGTTTCACGACTCGTGGAAAATAACTCGATAGGACGATTTAAATTCTCAATATTTCTTTTGTCACAAAGATCATCGTGTTTCGTCGATATTATTTCGATTAATCAGAGCAATTTCGAAGAATTCTAATTTATCACGTTCTATTCGACTATCATCTACTTGTTTCATCCGTTGAATATTTTATCGCTTGAAAATTTCTCGCCAACTTGGCAAAGATTTTCTCAGCGTCGCGAAACGAAACGAAACGAAACGAAACGAAACGAAACGAAACGTCCGATTTACTTTTACCCTCTTTCTTTCGTAAATATGTGATTGCGACCGAGATACACGAAAGAGTTGCGGGGAAATCTCGCCACGACAGGTGGATTAACGTGAATTTCAACGTTAAAAATTCTGGTTGAAAAATTGGAAGAAAGATAGAGACGGGGTAATGTTCGTTAGCGAATAAAAGGGCGTGACAAATCAACGAGTGGACGCATCCAATTCGCGATGGATTCAGCCATTTAAGTGTGACAAGAAGGATTTCCGGTTTCCATTCTCCTGTCACCTGAAAGTGAAATTTCACCGGCGTACCTTTTCCAAGTTTCTGAGGGTTGTGTGCGCTTGACAACCAACCAACGCGCTTCCAAAAGAGGGTTGTCCAGAAAATGTCGATCGATGGAGGATGCGCGGAGAGCGAGGATCGCCAGTCGATTCGGGATTTCGTGACTTTTCCAAATGTATATGTGTGAACCATGCTTTTACACGCTGTTACACGAGTTTTTATATTCTTTTTCGTGCTATCCATCTGTCTGCAGTCTTCTTCCCGATCTCGAGCGAGGGTTGGTTCTCGAGGAGGGGGATGAAAAATGAGAGGAAACGCTCCAAGTATGCAGGTATCCGGAGTAATAACGTGTCGGCCCAGGGGAATATGGAACGAGAGGACTTCCTTATTAAAAGGCTTTGGTGGCACTTTGCGGTCGGTGTACTACTTTCACGTCGATAAATAACGATCTCTGGAACTATTTCCCTTTTGCTTCCTTTCTTTTCCTCCAAGGATCAATCTTCTGGAACGTTACTTTCCACGTTATCTTCGTAAAACGCCCGCAGATTTTGATATTTCTTCGTCGAAAGATCGTTAGAAAAGTTGATAGATGATGCAAGTTTATCGAGAGAGAAACGTATACTCTATTCTCATCAAATTGTTCATCGATTCCTTCCTTCTAATTCGAACGGGATAAGTAATGAAATAAAATGGAATTAACGCGATTTCTTCGAATTATAATTGGCAAGATAATTGTCTTGTTCGAAGGCTATTCGCGAAAAGTCATTAGGATGCAAATTGCGGGACACTTGGGGGAATTTTTAATCGATTTAGGAAAAATCGAGGGTAGAACTTTTACAATTATTTCTCTAAATTGACTCGATACGTTACAAA